GTCTTTCCTTCTGAGAGCATGGGTGAAAAACAGTAGGAGCTAAGAGAAGCCCTACTGTGTGGAGACAGTGTTGTAAGAAAGTGAGCTCAATGCAGAAGAAAGCTGACCCCATCAAAGGGGAGGCAGGAAGTGAAGGTAACGGTGTTGTTTATTTGAACTCCACACCCACCCCTGTCTGAAACCAGACTAAGGCAGGCAACTGTGCTTTTATGAGCCCTCAATTCCTTCCGGCTTAAGCAACTGAATTTCTTTAAGATACAACAGAGTCCCGATTAACAAAACATCATTCTTTCTAGAGAAAGATTTAGAAGCAGCATTCTGCCCATGGTGACCTTCAGAGATGGGTGTCCAAGTGGAAGGCCTGATGAAACAGAATCCAAGACACCAAGTAACAGGGCCGGTAGGAGCAGAGGAACCCCAGGGGTCCATGGGCACAAATACTCTGACTCTTGGGAGAGCCTCCTTTGCATTTGGAGTATCAGGGAAGAGAGGATGGAAAGGAAAAGAGAGGAAGATGGAGAGGGAGAGGAACAGTAGTCCCAGAAAGCAAAACAAGGAGGCACATCTTATAGGCTGGAGGACACAGTCACAGCCCCAGGCTCAGGCAACAACCCTCTTCTTAGTGATTAGCAACAGAAGGGATGAGGGCAGCTCACCTTCTCTTGCGGACTTAAGTCAACAGCAGCTCCTCAAACCCTGAGAGTCTCTGCTCCCCTTGCTTTTCTCCTCTTTCAGCCCATGACTGATCTTCTCTGGTGTGGGAAAGTTGAGCTGTAAGTACATGCTTGAGTGATTTGCCAATGTCTCTAGCTAAGTAGTGGTTGTTTTCTTTATCTGTGTCTAGCTTTTTGGAAATTCAATGATAATCCATGGAGTTGAGATATGGTGGGACTGGGATCTGACCAAAAAGGGTGTCAGAGTTACTAGAAGTTGAGAATCTGGCATTAGCAATGCTTGAGTAGGAAGGGAGAAAAGGACCAAGAAGCTAAGTAGTGAGTGTCCAAGTTTACTCCTGCTGCTACCAATAAAACACTGGACAAAAGCAACTTGGGAAGCAAAGGGTGTATTCCATCTTACATATTAGAGTCCACCATCGAGGGAAGTTGGGGCAAGAGCTCAGACACAAACCTGAAGACAGAAACTGATAGAGACCATTGAGAAATGCTTCTTCCTGGCCTGTTCTCCACGGCTTGATCGAATCAGTTCCACCTGCCCAGGGTAGCATCACCCACTTCAGGGTGGGTCCTTCCACATCAATCGCCAATCAAGAAAATGCCCCACAAACATTCCTACATGCCAATCTAATAGAGGCAATTCCTCGGCCCCTGTGTCCCCTTTCCATGTGACGCTAGTGTGTGTCAAGCTGATAAAAACTAGCTATGAAATGTCCTTCTACACATTTGGAATAAGGCCTAGCCTCCTTTGATTGGAATGCTGTGGGAACTTTCTAAGTCGTTCCTGTCCCTGTCCTTGAGTCCCCAGTCTGTGATGACATTCTCTGGAGAGTCAAAGTCATAGAATCTACGAGGCAGGTTCCGTAACTCCCGTGTCTGTAGATACCAATGCATGAGTAAATGGTAAATGGTCTAACTAATTTATGTTGGCTTTCCTTCACACAGTTTATCAGATTATAGACAGGCTTTGATACCTAGAACTTTAGGATTGAAATCTTTCTTTATAAACCCTCCTTCTTCTCTCTCTCTCTCTCTCTCTCTCTCTCTCTCTCTCTCTCTCTCTCCTCTCTCTCTCTCTCCTCTCTCTCTCTCTCTCTCTCTCTCTCTGTCTCTCTCTCTCTCTCTTTCACACACACACACACACACACACACACACACACACACACGTACGCGCGCACACACAGAGAGAGACAGTTTCTCTTGAAAGTGAAATTATTTCCACTCATCTCAGAGGATCAGAATGCATTTTACCTAAAGCAAAGATTTGTAGGATTTGCAGTTTATTTTTTTAGCCAGAAATGCTGATATCAAACAACCACCCTGAATTGGGAGAGTATTCCCAATATTCTACCCACACTTCATGAGCTGGATCACAAGGGAAATAAAGCTAGTGCACTCGACTTGGAGGTGTGTTCAGATGCGTGAACATAGAAGATGCAACTGGACACTTCGACCTACTGAATGTGATTTTCCCTACCTCAGTGTAGCTGAACAGGAACTGGCCTGGAACACAGGAGACTTATCTCTCAGTTCTGTATGTTACTGAAGGATCTTGCAAAGCTGTAAAAATTAACCTCACCGGAAAAATCATGCAATGTGTGTGTGTATGTATGTGTGTGTGTGTTTACGTATGTGCAAATTTTGCCCAGCAATGCATCTTCTAGGCAAACACACTTGCACCCCAAGCGGTCTGAAAGACTGCTAAGAGAGAGAGAGAGAGAGAGAGAGAGAGAGCCATGTATGGCTCTCTATCTTTTTGTCCGTGTTTCCAAACGCAGCACAATTTCCCTGTCTAATTTGATTAAGATGATTTTAAGCAGACTGTGATTTAGAAAAAGAAAAGGAAAAACAAGCATTCCTAGCAGTTTCAGGCCATTTATCCTGATTAAAAGACCGTCTTTATACCCAAACGAATCTGTCTTCTTTAAACCTGAATGAAGAAAAGGCTTTCATCCCAAGTCACGAGTGACGAGGACTTTTAAAGTCCTTCATGAAATCTCGGTTGGAAAGATGGTCTATAAATAGGCCTATTTTGTGCTAAAAACAAATCAAAACCAAGAAATAAGCACTCAGACCCTGCAGATCCTTTGACTGGTCCTGTTTCCCGTCCCCAAAGACACAACACTCATCATGTCTTTCCTGCCTTTCTTCATCCCTTAGCCCATCTGCAATCAGACTGCACCCCAGCATCCTCCCCAAACTGCATCTTTCTGGGTCATCACCAGCACCATCCCTTGAGGCTCTTGATCTTCACTGTCTATGAGAAGCTCTGCCATTCAGTATTGTCCTCTCTTCCCTGCGCCTCTGGACCATTAAGTCTTCTAGGTTTTATACTCTCAAAACACAATTTAGCTGTGTGTCACGTGTCAAGAGTTCTGCTAATGATTTTACACATATCCTTATTTAAGTGTGACTGCCCCTCCCCCTTGCCTATGATAAGACTGCACTGCCCCAGAGGAAAGGACACCTGGAGAAGCTTTCTGCGGTCACCATGCTGGTTCTTCAGGAGAGAAGAGCCAGCCCTGACTTACCCCAGCATCTGATAAGCTTCAATAGTCAGAGATTAATTTTTCCACTTTAACAGAAGGAAAAACTCCATTAAAGCAGAACAGTGAATTGCAAATAGTATTTTGGTGTCAGGTACTAGGGAAATTTTTCTTTAGATGATTACAAAATAAGCCAACAACAAAAGTACAATTGTTATTTTTGTTTGGCGTGTAAGGAAGCTATTGTCCAAAGAGGTTGGATACTTCTCACCAAAGAAGCCCCCCTTAAGAGTAAATGGAGACTATCACAGAAAACCATAACTGGACACAATGCAGAGATCAACCAGTTGTGGAGAACCCAGCCCAAGAGATACATCTATGTCATACCTCCTGTATCTATGGTGCAGGGAACATGGCAGAAAAGGTGGCAGAAAGATTGTAAGCCCCAGAATGCCAGGGACTCTGCTGTGAAGCAGTCTCTCCTAGACATGGCTGCGTAAACAAGATTGGGACAATGGCAATATCAATGGATACATTAATGTGGAAGGGGAAATTTTTCACGGGATCTCACCTAGACAGAAAGCTATCCACAGCGAATGACTATGGGAAGAAGGAGAACTAGTCAATTAGCCTCTCCAATGCAGAGTGGTCAGCCCCAAAACCATGTACACATAGATAATAAAAATGGACTTAGAAGGTTTTATATATACATATAAATGTGTGTATGTATATGTATACATATATGTTTTCTCACATCTATCTCTCTACAAATATATATTAATAACAATCAAAGAAAAAGTGACTATCAACTTGAGGAAGGGGTGAAGGGTTTCACCAGAAGGGAGCTGGAAAGGAGGAGTTGGGGAAGGGAAAGGGAGGAGAGAGAGTGATGCGATTCTATTCCAAATAAAAATAAAAATTTTTAAAAAGAAAAAAAAAGACTGTTCAAATCATAGAATTTCTTCTTTTGAGGGGAGGGGTAGTTTTGTTTGATTGATTGATTTGATTTGATTGTTTGCTTTGCCTTTTATATAGCCAAGGCTAGCCTGAAATTTACAACATAACCCAGGCTGGCCCAGAACTTAAGATTTTTCTGTTAGCCTTCTGTGTGCTGAGATTACTGACGGGCACCATCAAGGTCAGTCGTGGAATTGTCTTCTTTTCTTTTATGGGCTAGTTCCTGGACATGCATAGTCATCTCCTCTCCTTTCCTCTAGGAGCATTTTATTTAGGAAGGATCTAAACCATGCACACATGTGACTTTACCCCACATTTCTGACTTCCAGGTGCCTTTTCTTGGTTCCAAGTCATTTATTTTAGTGAGTATCTGTTAGCACATTCCAAAAGAAAAGAGTGTAAAAAGAAAGATACTGAGTGTAGGTATCTTTCTCTAAGATGTAGCTCATCGCCCGCCTCCCTTTGTCCTCACTGGTGCAGGATGTGACAGTCAAGTCTGGACCATCTCCTTATGCCTATCACTGCTACCCTGGTCCTTCCCACTCCAGCCGTGCACGCTCACATCCTCCACTGCCTCCTGACTCACTTGTCTCTACATTTGAGACAGGGTCTCTCTCTGTAGTCACCAGGGCCTGGAACCCACTGTGTAGGCAGGACTTACCTCAAACTCACAGAGATCTGCTGACTTCTACCTCCCAAGTACTAGAATCAAAGGTATGTGACGCCACCACACTTGGTTTACATCTACCCATAGTCCTTTTTAACTTCTTCCTTCCTTCCTTCCTTCCTTCCTTCCTTCCTTCCTTCCTTCCTTTCCTTATTTTTATTTGTTTATTTTAAGACATGAACTTGCTGTGTAGAACACCTACCTGGCCTCAAACTTGAGATTTTACCCAGCATTCCCTGTCTCTTCTTGCCAAGATTTGCCCAAATTGCCTCCTGACTGGCTGGTGTCATAGTGCATGCCTGATGTTCACACTCATGGGGTATCACCTCGTGGACATTTCTACTCATGCGATGTCACCTTGCAGCTCAGACTCTGAAGTGGGGTAGCTGCTTGCTTTCCTGGTTCCAACCCTTTAACTCTTCATTGGTGAGTCCCTCTGGGTTCGTGCAGACTTGACCCTTCCTCCTGCTCATGATGAACAGCAGCCTAGAGAACATTCCCTGACAGAGGTCCTTTGAGCCACAGCAGCCTCGTCCTGATCTAAGAGTCCCCAAATGCCATCTTTGTTGAGGAACCTACGCTCAGTCATCCCATTGGCCCAGGGGAAGACAGAACACACAACTCCAACCCAGATGCATTGGCAGCATGAAGAATCAGTGTTGGGAACATGTGGAACCAGCTTGCTTTTCCGGTTGCAAGAGGACCCTTCACTACTTCAGAAAAAGCTACAGGAGCAAGATCCTTCCTGAATACTGACCATGAGGTGAGCATTTGCAAGCTTCATGCAGACTCAATAAGGAATTCATTCACCCAACAGCCCCAACTTTAATCTCCAGAGGACCCAGTCAGTGGTTAAGAAAGCATGAAAACAAAATGGATGCCCCCCACCCCCCACAGTATACAGCACGTGTTCACAAACAGCCCTTCTCTTAGTTTTAGCACATTTGTTCATCCGTAGTGTACCTAGAGCCTTGGCTCCATCCACTAACATTTAGGTTTTCATGTTTGGCAGTCATAAATACAAAGCGAGGCACTTTCATAAAAATATAAAACTTGACTGTATTTCTCTTTTGAGAGTAGCCAAAGAAATTGCTAGAATTTCTCAAAAGTGATCAGGAACATTGTTATCGAATCGAACTAGGCCCTCTCTGCATGTGGGGGCAGTTGTGTGACTGGGTCTGTGTGAGGAGCCCCTGGCAGTGGAACCAGGATGTGTCCCTGGTACATGAGCTGGCTTTTTGGAGCCCGTTCCCTGTGGTGGGATGGATATCATGACCAGCCTTGATGTAGGCGGGGAGGGGCTTGGCCCTAGCTCAGCTTAATGTGCCAGGCTTTGTTGATTCCCCATGGGAGGACTTATTCTTTAGGAGGAGTGGATGGGGAAGGGTTGAAGGAGGCGGAAGAGGGGAGGAATGGGAGGAAGGATGGAGGAGAGGACTGTGGTTGGTATGTAAAATGAGTAAAAAAAATTTAAAAAGTGAAATAAAATCCAAAGTGGAGAAAAAAGAAAGGAAGGAAGGAAAGAAAGAAAGAAGGAAGGAAGGAGGGAGGGAGGGAGTGAGGGAGGGAGGGAGAGAGGAAGGACGGAAGGAATTTACATGGAGACTCCTCAGTATAGGATGGATGAGAAACATCCATCTAACCTCTTAAACATCCTGATTCAGAAGCTGATAACTGCAGAGTGCCAATTATTTCCTCCACAAGAACATGGTTGAGCAGAAGCTGTGGCTCCCTGCTGCAGTTCATAAGAGGGCATTGTCCTTTGACACATCTCCAGTCAGGAGAAACATACAACTTCAAAATCCGAAGTGTTATCAGACTTGGGGGCGGGTCACAGCCTGTGTCCCAGCTCAGGTTCAGCTACCCATCCTCAACGAACCAATGGAAAGAGCCGAATTAAAAAAGGAAAGCAGAAAAGGGAGGTTGATCCAATGTGGTCACATTGGGAAGAGGAACAGAGAAGATGCAGAGAAATCTCCCACATCCATCTTAGTCTTCAGGGTTCTGAAGTGAGGTCACACCTGAAATAGAGAGCCAAAGATGTACACATCTAAGCAGCCCAGGTCAAGATGTGGTCCTGCTCACCCCTGATCCGTCAATATCTGGGTTTCAGACTCATCCCCTCAGGTACTCTGACAGGGTGTTATCTGTGTGCAGTCTCTTTCTGGAAGGCCAGTGCCTCCCGTGGGTGGTGTCTTTTTCTTCCCCCAGCATGAGATTCCTGGGGAAATTCCCATTTCTTTGGAGTCTGTTGTTTTAATAGCCTGAGAGCCAGATTGAGAGTCTCTTTAGAATCTCTTCATTTCTGCCAGGCCAGTTTCAGACAATCGGTTTCTAATGAATTTGTTTTGCTTCCAGACCATTGCAAAGCAGGAAACTAGCAAGTTTAACCAGTGTAAGTCAGGGCCATTGTACTTCACACACAGAAAAATAAAGCAAAAATGAGTGACCGGCGCAGCTGTGCTCCATCTGACTGGCACCCTTGCCAGCTGGGTTCTCAGTTCCAGGGCTGTCTACCCAGGTCTCCAGTTGTTCCTCTTAGAAGATTCCACAGGCAGGGCTCACCCAGACCGAGGCTGCAAACCCAACCTTGTCTTTCCTCAGGAAGGGAGAGTAACCATTAGTTCCTGTCCAGTTGGTGCTTAGGTGACCCCACAGAAAGACCGCAGTGAGAATAAATGGTTCAAAGGACAGTGAGCCCTGATGTCCCAGGCAGTGGGAACACCCTCCAGCCCTCAGAGTTCTCAAGCGTCCAAGAAAACCTTCCACAGACAGGGCCATGGGGAGGGCTGCGGGGGAGGGCCAGGGGGGGTGAGGGGCTCAAGGACAATGTAAACTGAGTCCTACAGGTGTTTGCCCTCGGTTCCTATCTCGCCAGATTTGAACCAACAGCTGCTATTCCCTTCTTAATGTGCTGACGGTGATGGTGGTGGGGGAATCCATGGGGCTGTCTCTGGCCGCCCTAGTCAACAGTCGCTCTGATGAGAAATGCAGCGGTCAAAGGCACAGACAGAAAAGCCAAATACCTGTCAGGCTCTTTCACACTCTGGGGCTGCCAGAAGACCTATAAAAATGTCATTGTCTCTCAGCTGCCGGTGATTATATTACCCTTTACGTTGGCTGTTGGTAATAAAAAAAAAAAAAGCAAATATCATTTTTTTTTACACTGCTCTGGCCTTCCCCTGGCCTTTTTCAAACAATAATAGACTAAATATAAAGAGACAGAAGCCATTACTTGGCTCTTTAACTAGTGCCAAGGAAAATGAATAATTAAGGAAACATTACTTGGAAGAAATGTACACAGTTGCTTTTAAGTTAGAACCAAATAAGAGCTCTTTAAAAATACATCATTTCCCCTTTATCTTAACATGGCATTTGTACAGTGGCCTCATATATTATCGTTGCTACTGTTTAGATCTTACCAAGGGGAGAAAAAGCTTTTAGTTTCCATTATCCTATTAAAAGTCCCAAATCAAACAGAAACGCAGAGAAGGAGATGGGGGAGAGGCAGGGGGAAAGTGTTCTGTTTGCACAGCTTCCTTCAAATCTGGCCTAGCAGCCCATATTTAATTCTGTTCACCTAGGGCAGCCATTCCAAACACCATTCTCCTCCTGTCCTTGAACATCTGCCTCAGTTGTGGGAAGGCTCGCTAACCGGGGAATGGGTACTAAGTCCTGTCTTTTTAAGTTACTAAAAATAAGCACTCAGGTCACCCTATCCAAGCACCAGCAGCCAAATGCATGCTGGGCAAAACCAGTTCTTGCTGGGTGAAAGCTCACTCAGGCTCCTATTTTCTGCTTGCTCTCCCAGTCCCTGAATCTCTCTTCCTTTACTCTTTCGTTTTCGGCCTCCCCTATGCAAGGAGAATCAGACAGAGCTTGCAATTAGCCCCAGTGGAAGGCCCCATATGCAGCTGTCACCTGGGTAATGATCTAGATCTATCAGAGGGTACCCAGCAGGGAGAATACAAGAGGAAGACTAGAGATTAGAGTAACTGCCCGGCCTGTGGCTGTGTGAGCACATTTCTGAGGCTTCTGATGCGGCCATTCCTTGTGACTTTCAAAATCAGAAACTCCCTAAAGTCTGCCTGAGTGCAGGTAAGCAACAGTCTGTGCAAGTGAGGCTCAATCAGAGAGACACCCTGGCCCTGGTACTAACACACTTCCCAGATGTAATCGCATGAGGAGCGAAGGCCTTTAAGAATATGATTATGTTGAAGTGAGCATAGCCACTCTGCTGGGGCCCTAGCCCAATGACTGACCGCCTTATAAGAAGAGATTGAATTAGTAGGAATGTGCGTGTACTGAGAAAAGACTGCGCAGAGGCTGAGGGAGAGCCATCTGCAAGGCGAGAGTAGTTTTCTGGAAAGTAACCCTGCTGCATCCTGACTGTGGACTTCCAGTTTGGGGGAGGAAATCAATTTATGCCGGTCTGCAGCATTTTGTCACAGTGGCTCAGGAGACTGACACCCTCTGCACACATCAGTCCTTTGCCCCCTCCTGAGAACAAAGTGGTTTCTGGGGGCATCATAACAAAACACCATACACCAGGTCACTTAGAGCAACAGAAACTGAATGTTCCAAAGAGGACCAAGATCAAGGTATCAGCAGCGGGGCTGGTTCCTTCTAAGGATGTTTCCTGCTACCGTCCCCAGTCCCTGGTGGGCTACTAGAGACCTTCAGTGATCTTTGAACTGTTTAAGACTTATCTGACCTCTGTCTTTCTCTTCTCTGTGCTGTGGTTCATGAAGACATCAGTCCAATTGGCTCATTCTTCATAGCTCCCTGCCTCCATCGCTGAGAATCAAACCCAGGGTCTCGTGGAGGTAAGCCCTATACAGTGAACTCTACCCCGCTTTAGTAGGCTAAACAAAACACATAAAATAAAGATGTATGTGTTGGGGCCAGATTGGGGGGGCGCACCCTGAAATACTAGCATTTGGAGTGCAGACGCAGGAGGATCAGAAGTTCATGGTCATCCTGTGGGCATATTACAATTTCCGGTCCAGCAACCTGAACTATGTGAGACTACGTGAGACCCTTTCTAAAAATGAATGAAAGAGCAAATGAAAGGACACACGAAAGGAAGAAAGTTAAGTATATACTTCCAAAAAACAACAGGGTGCTTTGCTAGTTTGTGAAGTGGCTAAGTCCTGGTTCATTTTTCTTAACTTGGTCACCTACAAAGACCCTATACCCAAATAACACCACATCCATAGACATTTAGGGTTAGGAGTTCAATATCATTTTGGAGGACCATAACTCAACCCTCAACCACTACCTACCAAAAAGTATTTCTAGATGCTGATGCAAACAGGCAGTTATGGGTGAGAACCACAAGACCGGGTTCTGTTCTCCCTACTCTCAAACCTTCCACTCTACTTATCAATGTTTTGAGTTCTTTCATCATCAGCTAGAACTTTCCGGGTACAGAAGAAAGAGAGTGCGAACCTCAGGTACCTCCCGAAAACCACACCGCCCCCAGGTACTTTTCCAAGGGAGGTGTGATGGCTAAAGGGCTCCTCTGTCTGGACTCTTGAATGGAGGAGGACGAGGGCCAGAGCTGCAGAGTTCTGTGCCGCATCCATTCAGATGCACACATCTCTGTGCTGTGGCTATGTATGTTTTTGGATGTTCTGTGGACTTGGTCTTGGCACCCAGGGAAGACAATAATGTCTGGAAGGGGCTTCACATGAGCTTTTGTGGTCACATTAGGCTCGAAGCCGAGAAAATCAGAGGGCAGCAACAGACACTTCCAACGAGAACAAGACGGGAACCAAAGAAGAAAGAGGGCCAGAGTCTTTCAAAGCCACCTTGTTGACCTTGCCCAGGGGTGATTAATTATACATCATCACAGGACACGGCACTTGTTTCAGAAAGGCTTGTCAGTGGAAGGCAACCGTTTGGGTTTTTATGGAATCAATCCAGGTGATTAGGGAAGAAGCAAGACTTGGGCAAAGGGAAAAAAAATCTACAAAGCAGCCTCGCTGCACGCGCATATTTGCTCTTTCAAAGCAAATTCTGCAGGAAATCCCAGCTGTTGATGCAAACCTTCACAGCTAATTTGCTCCCAGGGGCATATTGGCGACCATTATCCCAGAAGCATACACATGAAAATCCCATTATTTGGAATATATTCATTGTGTTTCTGTTTAACTCTAGGCTGTGTGCTGAGGAGTTAGGAGTATGGGAGAGAAAGAGGAGAAGGATGGAAGTGATCTCTGCTGCCTTCTGCCAACAGGAAGGACGCCCTCCTGGCGGCACATGCAGGCTGCTATTATGGAGAGTGTTTAAAACCACAGGTAACAGCAAGTCATGGGCTGCGGGTGTAGGTATTAGGGGTAGAGTTAGGAGTGTGTGTGTGTGTGTGTGTGTGTGTGTGTGAGAGAGAGAGAGAGAGAGAGAGAGACAGAGACAGAGACAGAGACAGAGGCAGAGAAGTGATAAGTGAGTATGTATGTGTATGTGTGTGTGTGTGTGTATGATATATGGAGTGTGTGTGCATATATGATGGATGGCTATGTATATATGTGTATATCTAGTGTGTGGGGAGGTGAGTATGTGTGAAGTGTCTCTGCCCGGTGTGTGTTGTGTGTGCACACACGAACATGTTGATTTCTGTGAATTAGTTGGTACTGTGGGCAATGCCAGGCTATACCACCATGGTCACTGGTCACTTTGTGATTCTAAACTTCGATTTCAGGAGAATGCTCCATTCCTCCTAAAATCAGTACAGGAAGACAATGCGTACTACTTTGCTGGAGAGATGGGATAAAATATCAGCCAAGGGAATTATCTGATCCTAGTCTGCCTTCCCTTACTGCCATCGTCTGCAAACTGACCCAGCCTGTGCTCTTTTCAGTGCTGACCCCACACCATCATGTAGAGCTCTTCCACATAGGTCATCCTCACCCAGTTTCTTGGCTGCTAGAACTGCCCCCAACTCCTCAGTCTTCCATGCGTCTTCCTGCCTCCTCCTTCAAGAACCCCAGTGTGACACACCTCGCCACCATGCACCTGGTACAGATGCTTGGAGAAAGGCTGTCGTGTGCCCTCCCGTGGAGGAGCTCAGCAGCACAGACAAGGTGAGCACCTGGATGCTAACTTTGCAGTCATTAGGCCCCTGTAGCCATTCACAGACACTGGAAACCACTGTTCTAGTGAAGCTTTGATGAACACACTGCTCCTGACTAGTCAGTGAGTCTGGTTTTCTTCTTAGAGCGCTTCCGGGGTTGTCCATCAAGAGACCAAAGAAGGAACTCGCAACCCACAGCCACACACCAGCTTTTTCCGTCCTCTCCAGGTCAAACCATTATTTTCTATTAACCTTTTCCAACACATGAAGATGAAAGGGGGAATTGTACAAGGAATCCTTACCATCAACATCGTTACTACCATGTGGCCCACCTGGGCCTCATGACTGTTTAGCCTATTGACTGCTTAGCTTGCCGTTAGTCCATCACAAAGCTACTTGCCAACTTTGGCTCTTGCATTGGTGGCACATGGACGTTGATCAAACCTTCATGGAGCTCTACCAACTGACAAGTCATAGGACTGTGCAATGTGCCAGCTCTGGGGACATAAATAAGCAAAAGAGAAATTATAACCGTATGCAAATTACAAATATAAAGAGAAAGTACTACCAAAGGTGAATGGAGCAGCCACCCAGTAGAATCTACGCATTGGTTAAATGAAAGAATTCTGTCTCTCCTGTATAGTTTACCCAGATTCATGTATGATTTTCTTGCATCCATATATTAGAGATCAACATAGATGATCCATCCAAATCAAACATTCAGAACTCTTCATGGGAAGAAAGGAAGAGAGAAATTTGACATTGCCATGTTTGTGAACTTCTGTCCTGGGAAGCTTCTATCCAATGAGAGATACCTTTGAAGTTTGCCCTTATGATACATACCATTAGGTGACAGATGCAGAGAGGGGAACCTGGGGTCCTCTTTGAGATCGATTTGCAAAGGCTGGATAAGACTTGGGAAGAGAGAGAACACCAAGGGAGCAGAAAGACCAAGCCCAGCATGGCTGCAGGAAGAGGCGAACATGAACAAAGTGAACCTTCTCTCTCCAGCACTACTTCAAGCGGGTTGTGCTCATTTTCCAACGCTAATAAAATCCTTCCCAAGGTTTGCTTTCTAACACCTAATAAAAACTCAAAGAAACAAGGCCAAGTGTAGTGAAGGACACGTATAATCCCAGAGCTCTGAGAGCAGAGGCAGAAGAACTGCAGCAAGTTCATCAAGGCTTGCCTGGTCTACACAGCAAGTTTCGGGCCAGCCAATGAAACACAGCAAGACCTCCTCCCAAGACACCAAACAAACATTAAAGAAAACCTTAAAGGAACATGTCTTTGTTGAGGAGTGGAAATTTGTTATTATACTTCCAATAAAAAGTAAAGTGTTGCATTTCCTTAAACATAAACAAAAACCAATGCGTAGCAAAGAAGACAAGCAGAAGTCAGTTATGAGGGGTGGATTTTAATTCTTAACTGTCTTGTGATCATTTTGTGATCATCCCTTTTCTCACAATACTCATTATAACTACTTTCCAAGGAAACCCACTCATTCTGTATTAATAGTGTCTTTCTAATGAGCAATAAATGAGGGATCGCCTTTTTTAATTGCCCCAGAGTGAGTCCTCCCTTTTGTTATAATGTGCTGCCCGAAGCCTGCTGCTTAGGGGCTCCTCCTGCTTCTAAGGGCTTGTGAGTGCCTCTCAGCAGCTTCCTTGCTGGAATAAAAAGGAGACACTCACAGCACCTCAGCTGCACACAATTAATCCCCTGCCAGGATGCTGTTGGTTGAATGATTCAGCAGCCTTTCAAAGGGCCTGACTAATCTTCATGCATAGCCAACATGTGCCACTACGAAGTTAATGCAACATGCAACGTCAAGAAATTAACCAGATTTATTCTGGTGGGGGGTGGGTAAAGCGTGCGAGCCAACAGAGGAAGGCAGAGAGGAACAAGGCCGCCCAGCAGGGGCAGGAACTCTGTCTTGAGGACGTGGGAATGACCTCCCAACCAAGGCCAGGCACATCCTTGAGATTCACGTGAGCATGAGCCTAGGACTTGTCACTTTGGAAGTCTTTACTGAGAGAAAGAAGTTCTGGGATGAAGGAAGTTTGGGAAACAGAACTAAACAGGTTTTGTTCCTGGTGCAGAACCTCTCAGAACTGCTGCTGTTGTGTCTTTTACTTGGTTTCCTCTCATAGGAACGTCCTAGAGAAGAGTGGATTTGTCAAAACTATGAAATCAACCTTGCTGGATTGCTTTTCAAGACATTTGTGGATTGTACCAGTGTCTGGTTGATTGAATCTTGTCCAGCAATATTCTCCATACCCCCGTGTCCTTTCTTTGACCCAGGATCCTAGCCAAGGTTGTAATCCATTTAGTCAGATGGATCGTTGATAATTTCCTTTTAAAATCATCGTAGATTTACAGAAGACTGCAAAAGCAAAAAAAGCACACAGTGCCCCTCTGCACCCGCCACACAGTTTCCTCTGTCATTCTGTCCTGTATAAATAACTCTGCCTTGGGAAAGCCGTGACGCTGACGATGTCTGCACGACACAACGTGCACTTGGTGTTGTGATGCACTTGTATCTTCCAGTGAGACACGGTCTTCAACCCCATTTCACCTCAGAAGCCAGAGGCTCAACTGGTTTCCCAGGAGGACATTAGCACATGCCAGTGGGCCAGGAGATGACTCGGGTCCTCAAGCACACTTCTGAGAGAAGCAGATGTCTTCTGGAAGCACGTGCCCTCAACAGACTGAGGGTAGTGGACCTGCGACTTCAGTTGCAATGATACAAACCCAGACCATTAGATATTATGGTGGCTGCCGTTTGACCCTTCCTTCCCACCATAGGCTTCCTATCCGGTGCTCAGCTCTTTTCCTCAGAGTGTGTGCCTTACATGAGCAGGAAACACAGGAGCCACAGTGAACTGGCCAGTAACACGGAAGCACACTCCAGCCCTGACCACCTGAAACCAGCATCACAGTACAGAAACTCAGGCTGCCTTGCCGGCCCTGAGGCCCACATCAGCATGGCCTAGAATGGTGTTTCTCAATCTGGGGCATCAAACAGCCCTTCCACAGGGGTTGCCTAAGACCATCAGAAAACACAGATATTTACATTGCAATTTACAACAATAGCAAAATTACAGTTATGAAATAGAAGGAAAAATAATTTTATGGCTGGGGGTCACCACAATGTGAGGAGCTGTATTTAAGAGTCCCAACATTAGGCAGGTTGAGAACCACTGCCCTAGAACATCTGTGGGGAGTTGGGGGGGGGTGCTTGCTTTTCTCACAGTCTCTTTGATGTGGCTGCTTCGATCCTGAGTTTGCTAGATTCTGAAAACAATATCTTTTATGTGCAAAACAGATATGCTCAGCTCACCCCAACCCTGCCTCTCCTATGGCCGGAACACTGTCATTGAAACTCATATACTAGCCCTGAGCTGCCATGCCCAAGACCATGGATGACAGGGTGAGCGCAACTGGAAAGCCTTTTCAAGCCGCATGGGTTTACATTTTGGCGAGACTGTTTCAATGCTGTGTCTGTGGCTCCCAGGCCCCAGATCAATGGCATCGCGATTCCTGTGTTCTTCAAGCTTCACAGTAGATGGGGTAGATAGATCACGAGATGACACGCATTAGCTCTACTCCAGTGAGCTTGAAGCATGTGTTCCCAGCTTGCAAAGATTATGGAAGGGAATCCGCATCTGAGGTTAGTCACAAAGCTCTTGACCAGGATTAAGAGTTCAGGGAATGCTCGCAGAATTGTTTTCATCCCTCTGAGTGAACTCGGAAGTCAACCAGCAGCCTGATTCCAGCAATAATGAGCTATAAGGAGCCTGTCCCAGCCCACCCAGAGAAGCAGGACCGTGGGGGAAAACATACATATTCTGGTGAGCAATCCATGGGGTTGTCCCCCTTTCAAAAAGAAACTGCCCTGCACAGTACTGACAGAAAACAAAGGCTGCGCCTATCTTCCCGCTCAAGTTGGATGGTTAAAACACGGGGAGACGAGAGGGAAAGAAAGATGTAAAACATTCCAGTTTGAAGTACGACCCTGTAGGGTTTCAAAGCCAGCTTTTCCAGAAGCCTAACTGATTGGCGCAGTCTCAAACCTCTGTAGGTAATTTATAGTCCTGGGCTAAATGTGTAGCATTGCCAAGAAGCTGTATGTGCAAATCTTAGCATTCGCAAAAATGGGCTTGGTATTCTTCCTGTGTGGAATCCTGGTGCGGGGCTGAGAAAGACTCCCCTGCCACTAAAAGGAGTCCTTGTTTCTCTGCAGGCAAATAAACATCAAAGAGAGGAGGTTCTGAATGGCCATCCCTTCCCTCCCACTTGAAACTTCCTAGTCGTTCCGTCCCTTGAAGAGGGACCTTGCAGTGGTCATTCTTTCCCACGAGCAGGTAGGCTCCTTGTAGCAATCCTCGCAAAGCTACCAATTCCAAACCAGGATGTCTGAATCAAGTTTTACCCCATGCCCCCCTATTTGTTTTATTCGTCTTTTTTTTAAAAAAAGATTTATTTCATTTTACGTATGAGAACTTTGCATGTGTGTATATATGTGCATTGCATGCACACCTAGCATCCAAAGAGGCCAGAAGAAGGCATTGGATCCCCTGGAACTGGAGTTATAGATGGTTGTAAGCCATTGTGTGGGTGCCAGGAATTGAACTCTGATCCACTGCAAGAACAACAAGCCATCTGAGCTACTGAGTCATCTCTCCAACCCTTTGTTATTGTATGTATGTATGTATGTATGTATGCATGTATGTATGCATGTATTCCTTCTCTGCAGTTTGTCATTTCAATCACACACCAGCCATGAATTTAGATGGTAATGATATATTTTTCTGTTGTGTAAATTATCTCAGAAAACAAACTCCTTCAGTAGTTAAACTATGTGCACTCAACACAGGCAGGAACTCTGGCAGCTCTACCCACCGGGAAGTTCTGAAGCGGTTACCAGACATGGAGATCCATGACCAAGGCCTCCATAGGTCACTCATGAGACACAGAACTATGCCCTACTCAGAGACGATTGGAAAGTCATTGCTTTGGATTCAGGCTTAAGAAACCAGGAAATGGAGACAGAGAGGACATTCTAGACTAAAGACAGAGACCTTGGGTGAACAAAGAGAAAAGAAAACAGTTGCCGCATTCAGTCAAGCTATGAGGGTCTGGAGAACGGTATGCATATGGGAGGCGGGAGGTGAAGAGAGACAAACTCAGCTGAGGAGGCTTACAGCAATGGTGTGTGAGGGGCATCACCGGGACTTTGAAGAACCAGGAGCCTCCATCACTGTCGGGTTCATCATTCCTGTCCATCCCTCCACCGACAGTTTAGGAAATCTGTTAGTAACCATGACACTGGGGACAAGCAAGCATGAGGAGGTCCCTGCATGGGTGCAGAGGGCGAGCACAAGCAGAGGTGAAGAAGGGAGGGCAGATGGGATGAGCGGGTGAACATGAATCCCTGGACATTTTGTACTGAGGGTAGGGGTGAGGTAACCTTCTCTCTGGTCTGCTTAGCCGGAGCTCACACTTGCCAGGGAAGGGGCTCAGTAGGAGGGGAGATGGGCAGCCATCTTGGAACAGCATACTTGGTCTCAGCTGGTCCCCATTCCATAGCAGTATACCCCTAAGGGTTATCATATCTCAGTCTTCTTGAGGCATCTGGTCACAGCGCTGATTATGGCATCTGGTTCCCAACCAGCCTGGAAAAGGTCACCATATGACCCCCTTAGGCCGTGACTCTGGCCCCTCTAACCCTGCCTCTGTAGGTGGAAGAGACATTGAAAGAAATGCCTCAGAGCCACTGAGAACTCCAAGTGCTGGAGACACTCTTCAGTGAGCTCAGGACTTAGTCCCCTGCGCTGGTGTCAGAGAACACTCATCCGTCAGCCCAGCCATCTGAACCATCCCAAGCCGGCAGCTCCGGGGCAGCTGGAGAGAAGCTGATCAGAGCCTTCCTCTCAGCTGGAAGGATGTGCTGTTCATGAGCTCCATGTGTTTCCTAGAGAGTCGCATTTGGCCCTCTTCCCCCCCTGCCCACCACCATCAGCACCACCCATGTGTAGACAAGTGTCTTGGGATCAGTGGGAGATTGTCAAAGGAATAAAAGACGTCCTCCGCCCCAGAAAATGCATCATCTAGCTGGGGGAAGCACAACATCCGCAGATGGGCAAAACAGCTTCAAAACACATTGACAGAGACACTGCGGAAAGCCTCCGAGGGAGAAACCACCCCCTGAGTGGGAAGGCGCAGGACACTTCACACAGAGCACATAGCACGCGCCCACCCTCTCCAGCTTAAGCACTCGCTTTTCACTTAGAGGCCATCCCATTCTATTCTAGAAAGGGTTTTCAGAAAACAATGAGAATTTCGTTATGGAAATAAGTGACCAAAGGCTTTGTCGGATTTAGTGGTTCTTGTCTCCAGGTGTTCCAACAAGCTTGGTGGTCTGTGGTTTCATCACACTTGTTAACAGGACAAAAGGCAAATCTTCGTGAAGACCCTGACCGGCAAGACCATCACCCTCGAAGTGGAGCCCAGTGACACCATCGAGAACGTCAAGGCCAAGATCCAGGATAAAGAGGGCATCCCCCCCGACCAGCAGCGACTCATCTTTGCTGGCAAGCAGCTGGAAGATGGCCGCACTCTTTCTGATTACAACATCCAGAAAGAGTCCACCCTGCACCTGTTCCTCCATCTCAGGGGTGGCTATTAATTCTTCAGTCTGCGTTCCCAGTGGGCAGTGGTGGCATTACTCTGCACTGTGGCCATTTGTCCATTCTAAGTTTAGAGATTACCGCTTTCAGTAATAGCTATACCTCTGTTCAAAGTGTTAATAAAGGTTTTGATGCATGGTATGGTAAGAAAAAAGAAACTAAAAGTAAAAAAGAACCGGACTAAAGGAATGAACACAGAAATGCCAAATGTAAGTTATCTCGAGATAACTTGGATTTTCTTTTGCTTGGTGAAATCAAGCCAGATTTGGTATGTAGTTGTCATCACCAATACCCGGGCATGGAGGACACTGAACTCTAAAACCTTGCTTAATCAAACCTTATTCTTGGGACACCAGCATCTTCATAAAGGGGATAATGATAGAGCGTGTTCAAACCAACTCCAGGTCTAAGTGAGAGTCTGCATTTCAAGAGGAGCCTAAGGGGGTCACAGAGGTGACTCAGTGGCTAAGAGCAGGTGTTACCCTTCCAGAACATTGGAGTCAGAGGACTTGAGTGTGTATGGGGAGGGGGGGTGGAATCTCATATCACTTGAACCTACAGCTCCAGGGGATCTGGCTCCCTCTTCTGACCTCAAACACCAGCACACATACAGCATACACTCAGATGAAACATACACATATACACATAGACAAAAATAATACTTATTTAAAGTCCCATTCTAAAGGTTCCTTCCATCTGAAATTGCCAACAGGGGATCTCGAGGAATAAGAGACTATTCACAGGGATTTTTACAATCAACTAGCAAGTGATTGTTTCTCACAGCAACTTTTAAAATACTAAAGACCATGACATAACAGCCTCCGAAGCGGGGAATCATGGACACAGCACTAAAAGGATGATTCATAAAAGAAAAAAATAGGTAAGTTGAACTTCATCAAAATTTAAAATGTTTACTTCATGAAAAGCTTTGCTTGGAAAGTAAGATAAACTGGAGCTTGGGAGAAAACGTTTGCAAGCAATATATTCAAGTCAATTCTCTAGCTGCTCAGAGCTATAACTCAATAGCACCGTGCTGACCTAATAAAGACGAGGTCCTAGATTTGATTCCTAGCACCCCTCCACACACACACCTTGAAATATACTCAACAAAAGATGAATAGTATCTATAATACATAAACAATCCTGCTGGCCAGGCAAGGTAGTATAAACCGTCGATTACAGCACTCTAGGCAAAGGTAGACAGGCTCTGTGAGCTGGAGGCTGCCCTGGCCAATATAGAGAGTTCTCGGCCAGCTGGGGCTACACAGTGAGGAAGGCTGTTAAGAAAGAAAGAAAGTAAGAAAGGAAGGAAGGAAAGAAAGGAATGAAGGAAGGAAGAGAGAAGGGGAGAGAGGGAGGGAGGGAGGGAAAGAAGGAGGGAGGAAAGAAGAAAGAAAGGAAGGGGAAGCGAGAGAGGAAGGGAGGAAGGGAGGGAAGGAGAGAGGGAGGGAGGGAGGAAGGAAGGAAGAAAGGGAGGGAGGGAGGGAGGGAGGAAGGAAGGAAGGATCCTTAAAATTCAGCAGAAACAAAATTCAACTAAAAAAAATTGAAAAAGAGAAAGGAGTAGACATTCAGTAGACCAAAAGATGGAGGGCAAAGAAGTCTGTGAAAAATATCTGTCCTCACCAGTGAGGAAATGCAAATTCAACCACAGGATGGTATCACTGTAGACCCATCAGAACAGCTAACACAAATAACTGTGAGCCTGCCAAGGACAGAGGGAAGTCTCTCTCACACACTGTGCTGGTGGGAATGAAAACATGACCCACAATGGGAAATGATCTGGCAGTTTCTCACCAGAATAAACACACCACTGTCCCACAGCCCAGCTTCACAAGGCTGGCGATTTATCCCAGAGTAAAAAGATTCACGTTTGCACAAAAATGTTTACAAAAACATCCACGGCAGCTTTATTCATAACAGTCATGAAGTAGGAACAACCCAGGCACCGTTCACGAGAGGAAGGGCTGAATAAACACCAGGGTATTGTGTAGCAGCAGAAGGCTGCTCCCCAAAAGAAGGGACCACTGACACGCAGAATCCCAAGTGGATCTTATGGACATTATGCTTAGTGATAAAAGTTGAGGCCAAAATGTTGCATTCACCCCGATTCCATGTTTTATAGCAACGTCTCAACAAAACAAAACTATAAAGGTGGAGAACAGCTCCTCTGTAGCCAAAGGGTAGGACATTTCTAGGGCCAGGAGTATGATTACAAAGACAGAGCAAAAGGAGCTTCATTGTAGTGAAGGGACAGTTACATATGGGTGTGCACATATACACATGAAGACTCACTACACACATGCACACATATACACACATACCTGTATACATACATTCCACACATGTGCATATATACTTGCATGCACACACATACATACCACACGCAGGCACACATGCCCACACGGGCCATGCAGAGCTAGGGAACTGAACAAACTCTTCAAACTTGTTAACAGTGTTGAGTCATTGTTAGTTCTCTAGTTTTAATGTTTCATTAAAGTCGTAAAAGCTGTGAGCATTGCAGCAGCTGGATGATGAGCTCATAGGATTCCTTATGAAATTTTATAACTTCCATGGATTGATAATTATCTCAAGATAAAAAGGCATCTACACACTTCAGTCTAAAGGCAATTCAATAAAAACTCAAGTAGTGTGATTTAAGCTTACTGATGTCCTTGTAATGTTCTCCAAGGAAACAGACAAGCACTATTACTACTAAAGGGATGATGGTGGTGATTATGGTGGTGGTTATGGTGGTTATGGTGGTGGTGGTGATGGTTATGGCAGCGGTGGTGGTGGTGGTGGTGGTGGTGATTGTGGTGGTGGTGGTGGAAGAGGTGGTGGTAGTGATGGTGGTGGTAGTGATAGTGGTAGTGGTGATGGTGGTAGAGGTGATGGTGGTGGCAGCGGTGGTGATGGTGGTTGTGGTGATGGTGGTGGTGGTGATGGTGGTGGTTGTGTTGGTAGCAGTGGTAACGCTAAGCCATTCTGATTCGTGACTTTCATCCCTACCAGTTTCTCTGGTGTAAATGCTCCCACAGTGGGTGGATTAGTGGGTGACCAGTCTCAAACTACCGCTGGGATAAACACTGGCTCTCAGAACTCTCAGGAACCAGCATAGACCAGTTCTAGCACCCCACTGCTTCCAATAATCAAAGGTGGCCCTAGGCCAATGATGCCAAACTCACTTGGTGGAGTTATTAAAAATTAATTTTCTTGACCTTTGTGGAGAACCACTGAACCTGAATCCTAAAGGTTCTCAGAAGGTCCCAGCAATGCCTTCCAGTGGTCTTCTCACCACAAACTGATTCTGCTAGTCTCTCTGAGCTGAGCTGGAAATACAGCCTTGGGGATCTCACACGTGGAGCATCAGACCATACACAGAGTAGAATACCAGCTTCCTCCATCCAAGTAGCAACCATCCCAACTCCATTTAGCTTCCTAGAGCAGTTGCAGTGGGTCATAAATTAAGGAGCATGGCTGCAGACCATCAGCTTCTTCTGTAATCAAAGGAGGAAGAGACTTGGAATCGGTGTAAGGTGGTATCACTCAGCAGTATGGGAAAGGAATCAAGGGCTGACTTTGTTGGGTCTTCCTGACCCGACTCTTCTCACTGAATAGGAACATCAAGTCCATAAGTGACTTCTGCCTCCAAGGAGGTGGTCAATGTGCCTTCTCCTTAACTCTCCTAAGAAAATCAGAGCTATATTAAACCCATATGTCCCTAAGAACGTTTCAAAAATCCTCTGACATTTATTTTTATTTTCCATTTTTAATTGACAAATAATTATACACATGTATGGGATCCAATGTGATGTGTTAATCTACATATACATTATAGAAAAAACCTAACAAGCTTACTGACATGTCTATTTCTTGATAGCTTAGCACGTTTCGTGGTAAGAATGTTAAAAATTTATGTTGGAATATATTATAGCTATTTAAGTAGATAACATCTTATCTATCACTGAGTATATCTACATTTTAATATCTCTTTGAAATTTATCTATGCAAGTACAATATAATAAAAATACATTAATAATGTGCAGATATATACAAAACGTCACTATTAGCTATGAGTAGCTAGACAATTTTGTAGCCAAAATGTATAGTTCCTGCCCTGTAATCCACACTTTGCCTCTAATGCTTGAGAAACAGTTGAAAAAAATGTCCCCCTGAGTCAATACCTATTCCCCTTGACCTCTACCCAAGGGCTTCCAGAGGTCACACTTGAGCCAGTTATCATCTCAAACAAATTTTATAAAGCCTGCCTGCGTGGTATTCTTTTTTCTCAAACCAAGCCACCCAACATTTGCAAATTTGATAATGTTTATATAAGAACAGAAGTGTGAGGCTCAGTTGTACCAACATCACATACTCCAACAGCATCACATACATCCCGAAGATGTATCTGGCTGTGCCCCTCTCATGGGCCGCCTGCCCTCCAGCATGCCATTCCCCAACTTCTCTGTTCATTCGGTGGTGTACCTAGCCCGATGCCTTTACAACCCTCAGCAGTGCCATTCTGGCCTCTGAAGAGGGAGGGATCTAGACATCAGCACTTTATGAGACGCTTGGGTAGAGTCCAGCACACACCCATTTCAGGTCTTTAGTCTCTGCACCTCCTCCAGTCCTCATGGGAGTTACAAAGGATTCACCACAGCCCTGTACTGAGTATCGTGAGGGCCAGGGCCAGCTAGCAGCAGGCACAAGGCTGTTTCCCCAGTGTGGCCCTTTGATGAAGCTTCTTTATCAACATTGATCCTACCTCCTTGCTCCAGGAGCGGCCTCATTCCCAAGTCCCAGAGACTCAAGTGTCAGCTGCAGTGGCAAAGGCTAACCACAAAGCACTTCAACATTTTCTCAGAAGATGGTAACTCACGCCACCCTTGGACTGATCTCACTCCAGGTCTTGGCACCTACTGGTCCCCGGTGATTAATACCAGTCATCTGTTCAAAGTTAACAGTCCCCGACTGACAGCATTAGAAAAACACTGAAGGCAGCATTTATACCGTGGGTCAACTGGAGAATGTGAGAGCAATATAGATCGACTCTGTTTAGATATCTGCTAATGAATTTTATATGTTAAAGACCATTTTAAGCAGTACTTTTTAAAAATTGTTCTGAAGTTGTCCATATTTATCTTGATTAAAAAACAAGTCAGCTCCTAGAGACATTAATGGGTTTTATATGCTCAGAAGTGAATATTGCAAGCAGATGGAGGAAGCGAGCTGGGGGTGAGAGAGGGCTGGGCCTTGTATTTCCATCTGAGTGGGCTATTACAATGGATCCAAGGTGTTGAGTAATAGGGCTGCTTTAGATTAGAGGACTGTTTACCTCATCATGTCCGCCAAAGAAATGCAGCCAAACTTGGGCTTGCGCCTTGTTAAAGAGTCAAGCTATGTACTACGGCCTTGAACTCTGCTCCTGGTGCTACAAGGCCATTTATAAGAATCGACTCTGGGTTTAAACTTGGTTATCTTGGCTCATATATTTAAACATCCCAGATGACGGAAGGGAAGAGGGTAAAGATCTCTCTCCACTTATTTGGGGCAAAGCAAGAGGAGGAAGTAGAAAACTGTCAAGGTGGGAGGAGCCAGGTTCCCACATTTTATAGATAAGGAAATTGTAACCAGGGGGTTAAAAACAAGGAGTCAAGAGGCTAGAGAGTGAGGGCCATATGTAAAAGTCGGCTGCTAGCAGCTAAGGGGGTCCCCTTCCCTCACCGACTTAGCATTCTCCAGAAGAATAGGATCAGTTAGGCACTTGGAAGTCACCTCCCGCAGCAGGACATTGATGCAGCACTGCACCCAACAGGCGATTTGGGGGCCCAGCACCTCCTGAGCGGAAATGGTATACAAGCTACGCGGTTACAGTCACTAGTTACTGGTTGTTCTGTAACCCAAGCTATCTAAGAAGAAAGCCAAAGCCAGCATTGCTCAACCATATCTTTTTCTCAGACTGCAAATGCTGACTTGCCTGTCTTCGATGGTGGCTTGCTCTAGGACACCAAACTACACATTGCCATTGTCAGGATCTGTGTTTCCGTCTGCTGCAGCCGAATGGTAATGTGACTTAGGAGCTTGTTTGCGTGGCTGAGTTCATAGTGGCAGAGCACCACCCATGGGATGTGGCAGTGCATGTGGACCAGAGAGCAGAGTCGGTGTGGTACAGAAGATTCTTAC